TTTAGTCAAAACATTTCGAGGACGCCGTTAATGCCAGTTTGCCGAGGCAGAGGCATAGAGATGTGAAACGAGGTCACTGAAGAGAGCAAAAAGACGCACGCTAACTTTGACCAAGAAATTGACGCAGTGAAGGATGTTGAGAGCGTTCCTTGGTGACCCTATAAGCAGATAAGATTTACAGATAGATGAGAAGCATACAGGTTGTCAATATGACCAAGCAAGAATCCGATGAACAATGTACATAGCCTGTTTTGACAACAACTAGTAAACGCACGCATTAGCGAGTGGTACTCACAAAGAAAAAATCGATAACTCGGACAAGTGGCGCACAAACATCGATAACTCGGACAAGTGGCGAAAAGTGGCGCACAAATATCGAGAGCATAACTGATATTGACTGGAGGTGTGCAGTTCAGGATCAATGAGGCAACTGTAGCTAAACTAGGCGCTTGAAATCATTTCGGCAATCCCGCTGATGTGGTATCTCCACACAGTCTGTGTTTACAATTTCGATGTTCCTGATGTTCTTGGTATGTAATGGGTTCTGGTTACAGCTGCTGCACTTATTTGCAATGTCGTCGAAAAAGATTTGCAAGTTCTCTGGTTTCAGTGCTTTAACAACGATTACTTCAAGGACAGTGAAATCCAAAATTAGTGGAACAAAAGAAAAAAAGAAATTGGCTGCTGGTGAGCGAGAAGAAATTGCTGAAAAACATCTCAGCAGCAACGACTTGGCACGTGATGAAAAGCCCGTTGAACCGGCTCGTGATTCGAAGCCGTTAGAATCAAAACGGTTATCCTTATTTCGTTGTTGATTTTTATGCGCTTTTGCCATTCACTAAATTCAAGAATGCATTTTTTTTAAAAGGTCAATTTATGTGTACATATACATGTATGTATTTGTTCAACGTTTGTCCCCCACTTTTAACTGAGCAATCAGAGAAGTTGTGGAGCTGTAGGAGTAGTAGTGCAAGAAACCACGCAAAAACGCATGATCGCACCAGCAACTTTGGGTAAGTAATGTTGCTGCAGTAGTGA